CCAACATGAGAGGAAAAGGAGTCATAGCATGATATGGACATACAAATTTTTCTTAAAAAAAAGGATAGCAGTAGCATTTTCATAGAAAAACCTACCACCTATGGTAAAAATGCGAAGGAAATTAATCTGTGAATGGGACAAAGGAATTAGACAAATAAAGTTTTCGATTTTGCCTTTTCTCTTTTGTTGGTGTTAAGAATCGTCAAGCGTTGCAGCTACTGGTGGACCATAACGTTTCACATATCGCCGATAGCGCTTCTTATTTGTATCTTCCGCGGCTCGAATCCGCATTTCTTCCTCCATTAGTTCTCTGTAGGCCTTGAGACAAAAATAAAGGCAGTCACAAATAGTCCTACTTATATCATTTGAGTCGACAGCTATAGATGACGTAGATACCTTAAAATTTTCACGTCTCCATAGTCCCAACCGATTGTAGTAAGCTCTACTCCCTTCATCCAGACTATCCCACCGTGCCTGATTGTAGCCCAGTCGCCATCGTGTCAGGTATTCCTTCTCCTCAAACCCGTAGGGGCGTCGAAGAATGGTAAAGAGAACAATCCACCGTAAAGCCCACCAACATAGGCGAACAATGTAGTAAGGCAAAATGATCAGTTGAACAACGAGCGTATTGCGAATACTTGGCGGTCCACAATCACCCCTGGAGGAGGAACCCAAATGAAGTCAATTAGAAGTGAGGAGGGAAGACGAGAAAAGGTGTGATACAAAACAATACCGAAGCTCAAATTTCTCAGCCATGATAGATCGAATCACCGCTTCTTCGTGAACCTTCATCTCCTCCCTGGTGAGCCGACGTCCCACCTTTTGCCTATCAATCTGAAAACGTTTTTCAGCGATGGCCAGTTCCTTTGCCTTGGTGCGATACTTTGGGTCGCGGACAAGATACGTGAGAGCTTGATTGTGCTTCGTTTTCTGACTAATGTACTGCAAAAAAACTCACGCATGAGGACCTGCCTTCCTAAATTACGCAAAAAACAAGAACTCACTTGAATAACAGACAAAATCAATATAGCAGAGAGAAAAACCAGCCGAACATCGATTTTGCGGGAGTACCTTCGCTTATAGTAGCGATAGTAATGATAGTACAATTCGGTGGGATGATCGAGCATGTATTCATATTCCTGCCTTTGTTCTGGATCACGCAAAATCTGCAGTTGAAAGCATGTAGAGAGGCGTCATGGGAGGCATACTTCATAGGCTGTAGCTACCAGACGAAACGTCTCCACGGCCGTTGCCTTTTCCTCAACAGTTTTCTGCCTATCTGGATGATATTTCTTGGCTAGAGCACGATACGCTCGTTGAATATCTGCAGTATCCGCACCACGCCCAACTCCCAACACTGAAAGTATAAGAGAGGACGTTTTATGCCATTCCTAGTGAAAAGGAGCAAACACAAGAAGAGTAAACCATCGGATTCAGAACACAACAAGAAATAGCGTCGAAGCAAAACGACAGAAATATCACAACAAACTGCCTCAAAAGGATACGACAACATGTAGAATTCAAAATATAGTTGAAATATATGATAAAATAGGCTGAAACGCGTTCAAGCATGAAAGTGTAATGATCGACATCAACAGAAAATGTGCGTTCAAAAGCTTAAAAGACCATCCTTTCAAACCGCTCTAAGAACGAGTCATTTTAAGTTATGTTAAAAGAGAGAGACGCAAACAAGACACTAAATACCACATGCAAGTGACGAGCTGCACAACAACATACACGAAAATTACATGCGTACCATCAAAACACGACCGTTCCCCACAATATATTCCAGTCAGCTGCGCATTAGCTAAGCTTAGGAAGAGCAAAACGGAGATCTGTGTACGAAACATGTAGGCTAGAGCATGTAAACGGGCTTGGCATCATGACAATACTGATTTACTAGTTATTTGCAAATCAAAAAATTATGCATCACTAAATTGAGTTTTCACCACTGTAATTAAACGTCGATTCCCATCGACCTTAAGTACATTTATGCAAGACCGACAAAAAGTGCTACAAAGTGAGCCGAAAATTTAAGTGATAAATTTAAAATAATTTGAAGATGTTAAAAAATCCAGCCTACTTAAGAAATTAGGCATAAGTAGATAACAATGCCTGATGGAATAACAACCGACTGGTAAGTTGTTCGCGCGATTAATAGTGAAAAACAAATCACCACTGCAAAATGTGAATTCAACTAGCCAGCACCACAACCCAAACACAGTCGAACTTTAAATAGACACCACCCACATCCCCCGAGCCCTTGTGCCCAAAATTTACTTGGTCTGACGCGTACAATTCCCAAACGTTTACACTTTGAGCTCCAGTAGAGAGAAAATGAAGACTACCAGCCCAGCTGACACCCAAAAATTCGACGATTTGTTCAAGCCAACCGAATGCAGCGCGGTGAATTTGATCCGAGATGTCGTCCCTTAAGTACTTGGGGTCTTCGTCTGATTCCTCCGAGGGCGATGCGGTAATGCTTGTTCCTACTCAAATCCATTTTTTCCACTCCCTATAATGAGTCCAGTTTAGTGGGCGTCATCGAGAAAAAGCTCGAAGAAAAAAAGGCCTCGGCTAGAACATCGTTCGAGTGATCCTGAAGAGGGTGAAATTCCCAGTGATGCGCTTGACGATGACGAGGACGATGGCTTAGATGATGAATTATATGGCGGTGAAGAGGATAAGCAACGTCTACTAAAAATGAGTGAAAAAGAAAGGGAGGAGGAGCTTTACCGTAGGAGCGAACGACGTGAAGCTATGAAGGTTAGGGTTAATTCATGTTTATTTACGTCATATCAGATCCGGAGAGATGTGAAGAAGAGACTCAAGGAGAAGAAAGAAAAGGAAAAAGCTGAACGTGCGAATAGGGAGGGCTCACGTGACTCAATGAAAGAAAAGTTGTCTAAGCCAATTAAGAAAAGTTCCGCTTACGCCAATGTATATAGTTCGGATAGTGATCAAGGAAGCAGTTCAGAAGATGAATCCATTAAGAGTGGTCTTCGGGATCGCAAACTCACCCTGGCCATGCAAAAGGTGCCTAGTTTTCTTAGACTTCTCGATATTTATGTCTATAGGAAGGGCGGTCTAAGCGGCTACAAGAACTTGCTGATCGTCGGAAGGAGCTGAAAAGCAAAAAGGAAATTGTTTATTCTGGCTCTGATGACGAACGTGCAGAGTCGCATCTGCAATCAAAACATCATCCTCGAAAAGGCGTTTATTCTAGTTCGTCGTCAGATTCCGACTCCAGTCGTTCTGTGATTGAACAGTCCGTCCAAAAGCGAAGAAGGTGGGGAGCAACCTCGTTTATCTTTGACAATCCTTATTCTTGAACCCTCACTGGTTTAACTCTTGTTCTCCTTCATAGTACATCCAGTTATTCTCGGTCATCTTCCACACCATCGAGCGACTCCAGTGACGACGATCGTGGTCGTAGTCGCTCACCAGAGGTTGAATACATAACTACGCTTGAGCAGCTCTCTAAAATACGTCTTTCACGGTTCAAGTTGGAGAAATGGGTTCACATGCCCTTCTTTGATGTATGGTTCCATTTTGAATTTCCTTCTCTGCTTTCCATGTGGTGTTCTGACCCGTCGATATTCTCGACACTTTCAGACTCTAGTAAAGGGTTGCTTTGTGCGAATTCACATTGGTCAGTGCAGGAATGCTGCTGTCTACCGATGTGGAGAAATTGTTGACGTGAAGGAGATGGCTAAACCATATGACTTGGGCAAAACAAGGTAATAGATGGTAACTCACCGCTCTTATTGGACTCCATATTTCCATAATTGATCTGCATTGCAAGAAGTAGCAATTAAAAGGTAACGAAGACGCTCAAGTCATGTGGGACATTGCTGAACTGAGTTATACTTCTATCCTTTTTAGGACAAATAAAGGCATTGTTATTCGACTGGGCAAGGATCAACACACTTTTCGTCTGATGTTCGTGTCTAACTCGGAATTTTTGGCGGCGGAATTTGAGAGTTGGAAAAAGTACTCAAATCAGGCTGGCATTAAGCCACCCACAACCTCATTCATTGCACAAAAGGCCGCCGAAATCCACAAGTACTTGACTAATCCCATTAGTGATGAGCGTGTTGTCGATCAGGCAAGCATTTTTCGCTCTTCATTTTGGTGGTCTTCGAGCGAGTCCTTTATATCGAGTAGTGGTAGATCCGCCGGTTGAGCAACTGGAGAACCGTGAAATGCAATCCTTTTAGATTATACAATCCAAGCGACGTTTCCAAAAGGTTCCCGTCAATTTTGCTTTGAAGAAGGCAGAGTTGCTGAAGCAGCGTGAACTGGCAAATGAAAACAATGACACAGATGCCATACGTCGGATAGACATGGAGTTGGATGAGTTGGAAACGCAAGCAGAGCGGATTGAACGACGTCGGACCATTGGGTTTAAGGCCATTTCGTCCATCAACCAACGGAACCGTGCTCTATCATTGAAGCAAGCCGAGGAGGCCATCTTAAAGGAGGCCAGGGAGACAGCAGAGTCCAATGAAGTTGACCCATTCACGCGAATCCAGTCACAGCCTGTAATCGCTACCAAGAGTTACCTTGAGCGTCTGCGAAATATGAGGGTATGCTCTTAAGCATCAGCAAAGGTTACTCAATCCTTTACTTGCATTTTATTTCTTACAGAACGGATCGCATGACAGAGGTACTAGTGACGAGAAAGATGGAACTGGAGCGGAAGGACAATCTGAATCCGGCTTGCAAATGGATTCACGCAAAGAGACCAAACCGTTCACAGATATTGCACATCAGCCTAAACCTCCGGAAGAGTCTTTGCACGATATACACGATTTCGAGATTGACATCAATGTGGAGTTGAATACTAGCAGCAACGGCACAAATCTCGATGGCCACGAATCGAGCATGCACCGATCCGTAACAACTCCCATTGTGCCTATGCATGGATCGACGACAGCTAGCAACGCGGATCAAGCAAACAGCGACAAACCCAGTCGTCGCTTCCTCAACCTTCAAGAGTACAAGAGACGTCGCGGGCTCATATAAGAGTAGTGTTTCTATATGTACATAATTCGCTGACCACCTTTTGACGTTTCATTATCTTTGGATATGTAGTTGAAGCCTATCATTAAACGTAATTTTATAAACGGACAGGTCAGCTTAAATGATTCCCACTAGGATATAGCAGGTTGGTGAATAAGTATACAGTTAACGATAGTTGGATTTTTTGCTAGTTGGTTAGAATTTCATCTCAACTACAATAACGTGGCCGCAGGGGTACAGTTCATGTATTCACAAGGGATTCGACAAGACTATCAACAAGGAGGGTCTAAATGTAGCGGAATATGACATCCTTCGGGTTGAGAATCATTCTTGGTTCAATTTTTACAGGACAGCGGAGGAGATACGAAAGCATTTGCTCGCCATATCCAACGAGAAAATATATCTCGTTAGCAGAAAGACGATTCGACAAATTAAAACATATATGCACCATGTTAGCTTGCCGCCGAATTATTATCTACAGGGGCGTATTGACGTGGGAAATGGGTGGAATTACTTCACTAAGTATGTGAGTCGGAAAAGTTCCTTGGATAAACAATCGAATTAGGGAATCCTGCCATGTTATAATGCCAGTATAATTATCCTCATCATGAAGATTCGCAGTATTCCAAGAGTTCCAGGATTTAAGTACGCCAATTTGGTGGGGTTTCTTAGACTGCTCGTACGTCAGAGGTTCCGACATGTTTCGAGTCCGACGAACGACACCAGATCTGGTGTTTTTCAATAAATATAATGAAGTATGAAAGTTTCGATGGAGTTGCAATATTTCCACACGACATCTGAGCTTCCTCAAAGGAGCTAACATGGCATCAACCGCCACCATAAAGGTAATTGGTTGCAGGTGGTTGGTCGTAAGGTTCTATCGACAAAACAGCTCATTAAAAAAATTGAGCAATTCTAACCTTGATTTTCGATCAAAATAATCTAATTATCGTTAACAGTGATAATGCGATGTAATTCTTTGCATGCTTTTATATCAACTTTACATGCATTACGTATAATTAGTGTGGCCCTTGCATTTTCGAATAGATTGTGCAAGTGGAATAATGATAAAACAACATTCTATATCTGAAAAATTACCTGTATTTGTGTCAAGGCCACAAATCCCCTAATTTGTTCAAAAGATATTACAAGTCAAGCATTAGCTGGTGCACATATTTAACACAGCTCTTAGTCTTCGTACTACTTAAACAAATGGTTTAAATATCTCCGTTCTTTGTCGAAACCAATCACTTGAGTTACATTATGGATTTCTACCTCTTCTACGCAGCTATGTGCAGCGTCCCAAGGCTCCAAATC